GAGAAACGTCAAATTACCAATATCAGGAATAAAAAAAATGTGATCGGTATATATTCTGCAGATATTAAAAGGGTAATAAGGGAAAATTCTGAAAAACGTTATGCCAATGAATTTTATATCCTACATGAAATGGACAAATTCCTTGAAGGACTAAACTGTCAAGTTCTAGAAAGAAAGGAAGAAAGAGATAAAGAGAGAAAGAAAGAAATAGAGAAAGGAAAGAAGAAAAGAAAAGAAAAGAAAAGAAAAGAAAAGAAAAGAAAAGAAAAGAACCTAGATAGCCTGATATCCATTAAAGAAATTGAAAATTTTTTTGAAGATTTCATTTTTAAGTAATCTCTACATGGGGCTCAAACTTACAACCTCAAGATCAAGAGTGGCATGCTCTGCAGACTGAGCCAGCCAGAAACTCCAAGAAATTGAAATTATTGTAAATAATTGTAAAATCTTCCTACAAAGAAGGCTCCAAGTCCAAGTAGCTTCACTGGTGAATCCCATCAAACTTCTAAGAAAGAAATAACACCAATTCTACAAAAATCTCCCAGAAAATTGAAAAGGAAAGAATACTTTGCTGCGAATTCTATGAAACCAGCATTCCTTTGATTCCAAAACCAGACAAAGATATTACAAGTAAATTACAGCCCAACATCCCCCCTGAACGTTGATGCAAAAATCGTAAACAAAATGCTAGCCAATCACACCCAACAATTAAAAAGTGAGTGGAAATTATTTGAGGAATGCAAGGTTGATTTAACATTTGAAAATCAATTGATGTAATTCACCATGTAATTCACCATGCATCTTTTAAAAGACGCAGAAAAAGCATTTAACAAAGTCCAATATCCATTCTTGATTAAGAAAAAAAAAAGTCTCAGTAAACTAGAAATACAACAGAGCTTCCTCAATCTGATCAAGAACATCCATGAAAAACCCACATCTAATGTTATATTTAATAATGAAGGACTCAACACTTTCACAGTAAGATCAGGAGTAAGATAAGGACATCTATTCCCACACTTTCTATTCAGCAGTGAATGAAACAGAATAGAGAATCCAGAACAAACTTACACATCTGTGGACAGCTGACTTTCAGCAAAGGCAATTTGGTAGAGAAAGGACTGCCTCTCAACACATGGATATTCATCTACCAAATAAATAAATTTTGATCCATACCTCACACCATATAAAAATTTAACTAAAAAATGGGCCATTGACCAAAATGGAAGTGTTTTATATAATTACAAAACCTCTAAAAGAAAATATAAGAGAAAATCTTTGTGACCCTGTGTTTGGCAAAGATTTCTTAGATGTGAGGGGCACCTGGGTGGCTCAGTGGGTTGAGGCTTCTGTCTTCGGCTAGGATCATGATCCCAGGGTTCTGGGATCAAGCCCTGCATCGGGCTCTCTGCTCAGTGGGGAGCCTGCTTCCTCCCCCTCTCTCTCTGCCTGCCTCTCTGCCTACTTGTGATCTCTGTCTGTCAAATAAATAAATAAAATCTTTTTAAAAAAAGATTTCTTAGATGTGATACCAAAAATATAATGCACAAAAGAAAAAAAATGATAAATTGGATTTCCTCGAGTTGAAAACTTCTGCTTTTTGAAAAACACTGTTCAGAGAATTCAAAGATAAGCCATAGATGGGGAGAAAATACTTGCAAATCATCTATCTGCTAAAGAACTTGTATATAGTCTAGAGAAAGAATTCTCAAACCTCAATAAGAAAACTAACAATACAATTTTGAAAGAAAGATTTGAACAGATACTTCAAGGAAATTACACCCGTGAAAAGATATTCAACATTGTCAATTATTGAGGAAATGTCAACTAAAACCACCAGAAGGTATCATCACACACTCACACCAAATACTGGCCGGGACATGGAGGAACTGGGACTCCAGCATGGCTGGTGGAGATAGAAAATCATGCAACCACTTGGGAGAATACTTCTTGTAAACTGAACGATTTGGCTAGTCTACTCCCAGATATTTACCCAAAAGAAATGAAAGGGTATGTCTATATGAAGACATGTACGTGAACGTTCCCAGCAGCTTTATCTGTAATAACAACAACAAAACCCTGAAAGCAACACAAATGCCCATCAGTAGGTGAATGGTTAAATAAACTGTGGCACGCCCATTCAATGGACTATCGATGAGTGATAAAAGGAATGTACCATGGATACATGCTCCAAAGTGAGCAAACCTCAAAATAATGATGTCGTGTGGAAGAAACCCCACACTGTATAAATCCACCGATATAAAATGTTATACAGAATACTGTACAGAAACGGAAAGGAGACCCATGATTGCCTCAGGGGTGTGGTGGGGAAGGCTGTAAAGAAGGCATCCCCAGGGGGCAAGAGGAAATGTTTTTAGTGTGATGGCCATGTTCATTATCTTGATTGTGGTGATGGTTTCCTTCATGCTGTGTTTGTCGCTTTAACCAAGTGTGGTTTATTTTCTGTTGAGTACACCTCAATAAACTGTTAAGAAAATAAGTCTGGGGAATATCGTACTTGGAATTTTTATTCAAAGCCAGTCTTCCCAAATGCAGTTGATTGTTTTGTTTTTCTTCTAGTTATATAACAACAGAAAAGTCTGAAATTAAAGCCTACACATCTCCACCAGTTCCAGGACTTTTGTGGGCTGCAACAATGTGGCCATTTTCTGTAGGCACTGAGGTGAGGGAAAAGGATTCGTCTAGAAGGTCAGTCTTCCATTCTTGTGAGATGAGGGGTCAGGAGGATGATGTTGGCCGTGAGCACCGGAAGTGCAATAGAAGCATCCCAACCACAGGACGGAAAAAGTCCTCTCTGTGTTTCCCGTTTTGCTTTCTAGAGAGGTAAGTGGCTGAGCAAAGTGTCGGTTGGAGCTCAGCCATCTGTGGCCACCCACCCATGACCCCTGCCCTACATCGGCGGCTGTGTTGGGTAGGGGCGTGTCTGCACAAGGTGGAGGAAAGAGGAAGGACAAGGTGACCAGTGGTGTTTGGGTTCCAGGGTCACATGACTTCAGATAAACACACTCAGGGCAGTCCCAAAGCTGTTAGTGCCTCTGCCATCTTGTCACCCCAAAAGCAGCTGCCTCCCCACTCTGTGTCCAGAGAGAATCCTCAGAGAATTAGCCAGAGCCAGACAGCTGGGAGGCCACCAGCCAGACACGGAGTGCAACCTAGCCTTGTGTGCATAAGTCAAAATGGGGACCAGGCGGAGGTTCCAGGAACAGCTGCAGGGGCTACCCCGTGCACAGGGACAGCTGCACTAGCAACCATCGGGGCTTGGCACACCCAGTGGCACACCTGTGTCCACACAGGGTTATTGAGGCAGTAGAACAGAGGGACCGAACGCCAGGGAGAGTCCACCTGGGTTCCCATCATGGCTTTGTCACCAGCCATCCAGGTGCTTTGGGCAAGTCCCTTAACATGCCTCAGTCTCTCCATCAATAAAATGGACATAACGAGAGTGATAACCACACATGGTCGTGAGACTCAAAGGAGCCGGTGAGATGTTTACACGAGCTCCCAGCACAGAGATCACTCGTGGATGTGTTTGCTGTGGTTGCCTCAGTCTGTGCTTTGACAAACCCCTCTCCTGTCCTTTCCCACACCCATCAGACAACTCAGGTCCCTACACAATGCCAACCAAACATCCGACCACTTAGCTTCTGGGGGTGATGGGCAGCTCCCTAACACCCTCAGATGAATTCTTCAGGTCTGGAGGCTCCTGCTGTTTATTTCTATTATTCTGACTACTAAGAACCTCCCAGGAAATCTGGGACCCAAGTCTTGGGGCAGGAAAGCTTTGGTGGGCAGACCTATGCAGGTCCCGCCATCTCCAGCAGGGGGCGATGGGCACCAAGCTTTGCTGGGCATTGTGCGTTCTTCCTCCCATTCCCCAGAACCAAGAACCACCCCACCCCCAACACTGCGTACTGTCAGAGAGAGAGCCTCTCAGGTTCCAAAGCTGTGGGTGGGTTTGTGGGCACAGCTCCTTCCCACACCCCTGACTTTCCTAGTTTCCATCAGCCCCACTTCCCAGAAGAGGAGCCTCTTCCCATTGGAGGCTTTGCCTCAGTTTCCCAGTATATAAAATAGGTGTGGCCATCTTTGCCCCCTCCAGAGATTTCCCACAGGTGAATCCCTAGCAGGAAGGAGAGGCTGTCAAAAGCAACACCAAGAATGGGAGAGGCCATTCCAAACCCGGAGCAGGCAGCCTCCAGCCAGCTGCCCACCCCCCTGGGCCGCAGGGTCCCAAGCCATCCAAGATCTTGGTCCCAGGGTGCCCCCTTCAATCTTTGCACCAATGAGGGGCTTCCCAGCCCAAATGGAGGACTTCCCCACCCCCCTCCTGACCCAAAGAGCACAAATGAAACACCATAATAAAAAATCATGTGTTTATTGCTTGATTAATAAACTGACTCGGAGAGGCAAGAGTGGGGTGTGTGGAGAACCACCCAGCTTTGATTAGTCAGAAACTCCTGTTAACTGTGTACAAAATGAATGTTACAAAAATCAGGTAGAAAACAGGGTCAGCAAAGCAGCAGTCTTGGGGAGGGCTCAAGGTCCCTGGGAGGCTGTGAGATGGGCCCAACTTGGCCTCTGGGGTGTGGCTGAGGGACTCCAGGGCCCTGGAGGGGCCACACACACCCCCTTCCCTACACAGCACATATGGTCTCTTCCGTCCTCGCTTATGCATTACTACAAAATTACCCTCAAAGGGGCATAAACACCACAGGCCATGGCATTGCCAGAAATGAAACGGGCCCTGAGCTGAGCAATGAGCACCCCCTTCCCCAGAGGCCTGGCCTGAGAAGGGGTGCCCTTGATCCCCACGCCAAGGAGGGTGGGCAGGCACAGGACCTCAGAGCTGGGGAGGGGCTCCACTCCCCAGAGAGGCAGTGGCCGTGGGAGGCCTGAACAGGCCACCAGAGCCAACACAGCCGTGCTTCCGGCCAATGCCAAGTGTAGGGAGAATAACCACAGTCCCTTTCGGCCGCCCGCGCAGAGGCCCGAGCGGCGCAGTCCCGGCACCATCCAGATAGGGGCGCTAATTGGGGTAGCACATGCAGCACCCCGTGCCTGCCGCCTCCACGCTGGGCTTGGCGCCTGGCCCCAGGAGTCCGTCGGTGACAGAGTGCTCCATGATGATGTCCTCCACCCGGGTGATGTACAGGAATGTCAGCAGCACCCCCAGGAACTGAGGAGCAAGGGCAAGGTGGGTGAGAGCCTGCTGGGGATCTGGGTGGCTCTGGCAGCCCCCAGCCCGGTCCCTTCTCTATCCTCCCAGGAAATCCCAGAGACCCTCCCTGTGCCCCATCAGCAGAGGCCCCACCATTCTAGGACTCCTGTCTCCACCCCGGCTCTGCCACTCATTATCAAGGGGACCTTGGGCAAGTCACTTAACCTTGCCAAGCCTCAGTTTCCTCCTCTGTGAAATGGGCATGATAATAGTACCTACCTCACTGGATTGAAGACGGTGGTGCCTACAAAGCACTTGGAAGAGCTTTATAAGCAAACTCTTGTCATTGGTGCTCTCCTTCTGGCCCTCCAGCCCAGACTGATGGTAGGAGAGCCTTCGTCACCCCGCCCTCTCTGAACCGACACCTTGCCCACCATTCCACTTCTAGCTCCCTTCCCGGGAGGGACAGGGTGGGGCAGGGCGGGGGGGGGACAGCCCACCTGGGGGAGCAGGATGCCCAGCAGGAGGCCCGCCATGATGGTGTAGTTGTCCATGAACCAGATGAGCACGGCGTTGGTGCAGCCCCGCACGTAGATGACGTCCTGCACGCTGAGCCGCTGCTCAGGGAGGAGGAGCCTGGCTGACCCGCTCGCCTGGCAGAGCCCCAGCCCCAGCCCCGCTGCTCGCTCCTCGTCCACACAAGTCCCTCAACCTGTCTGAGCCTCGGTTTCTCACACGCAGTAGGAGCAGATGGCTCCAGACCACTGGGTCTCCGTGGCCGTAGCGTCCCCTAGAGAGCACTGAGGACATGGTGGTGGCACTTGTGGCTGGCACGGCAGCTGGGTTTGGGGAGTTGGGGGATGCGGAGCTAAGGACAGTCGTACTCCACAAACAACTGCCCTGCCCCCCTGCCTCTCAGAAGTTGGCCGGGGCATCCAGACGGCTGAAAACCCATCCAGAATTACCTGAGCCGAAAGGACAACTCCAGGGACGCATAAACACCGAAGTGTTTTCTGTGTGGTTTTGCCACGTGCAGATACACAGCACACACAAGTATATACACTCTATGTAATTTTGCAGAAATACTACCAAAGGATATACATTCAAGAATTATTATATTGTGTTTGGAATTTTATCAAGAATTGTCTGCCATTTTAAAGACCCCAACTCGGCAAAAATAATGTCCGTGGTGTTGGCCTTACCAGCACGGCTCCCCCTCCCACGAGCCAGCTGCCCCTGTGGGGCAAACCCTTCCGTGCTGTCCTCTGTTGTATCTAATGCCTGAGCATTTCCATGTGTAATATGCTATCTGATTGCAAATTGTTCTATTTCTCCTTTTATGTCAGATCTGTCACTTGTTCTGAAATTAGGTATGTAGGCAGATTATGTTATCTGTGAATTTCGAGATAATTAACTAGGGCATTACAAGATGATTATTATAAAATCTGGCCTTCGGGTCTGTTAGCTTGAGAACCTCTGCTAGTCCACGACTCTCCAACAGTAATGGGGATCAGAAGCACCTGCGTTTCTAAACAATTGTTCCTAACAAGTCCCCCAGGCTACTGTCACTGCTGGTTTGGGGACCTCACTTTGAGAACCAATACACACAGGCATCTCAAGTCGACGTGATTTTTAGCTCCCTTCTCAGCACCACGCCAGTGTCACTCTTAGCCTAGTGGGGTGCTGGGCTAAGGCAGGCTGGGCTGGGCAGGACTGGGCACATGGGGATGCAGGTTAGGGCGACGGTATGGGCAAGGGCTCGGTGACCTCCCACAGGCAGGCCATAGTAGGTGCTCAGCAAACACAGCCAGGCAGGCTCTCCCAGCCTGGGGGGTTCTTGGCTCCCTGAGTCCTTCTGTGTCTGGGCACAGATGGAAAACTCTGGCAGTCCCCGACTCCAAGCCAGGAGCCTGGCCCCCTCCCCCCGCCCAGGGACCCTTCGCATTCCTCTGGGGATGGGACAGGAAGAGCAACCTTTCTCAAGGAAAGAGACTGCAAAGACATTACCTCCTTGTCAATGGTTTTGTAGCCGCACATGGTGTTGACCACTTCTGTCTGAAACAGAAATGGGTATTAGCTGCCACTTACATCGTGCTTACTGCGAAGGACTGTTGTTCTCCCCTTTTCCCAGGACTTGGTCTGCGGGCAAAATAACCTCCCTCCGCCTAGACTATATCCCAGGTGCCCTCAGACCCAAATCCACCCAGGGTCCACTTAACACTGCTCAGGTTTTGTGGTTTCTCTAGGCGGTGCATGCAAACCCCATGGAGAGGGTCAGGCCCGGGAAGCAGGTGCATGACAGAATGACGGGAACTGTGTTTTCTACACTACGTGTCTGCTCTTCCATTCATCGACTGAACAAATATTAATTGGGCACCCGTTATGTACCAATCACTGTTCTTAGGTGTTGGGAATGTATGAGAACCAAGGAAAGTCTTTGCCTTCACAGAACTTATATTCTAGAAAGGGAGACTCGCAATGAGCATAATAAGTACGTAGACGATATGGGTAGAGGAGTAACCACGTGGCACTGTGCTTCCCAGCCCTCTAGGCAGGGTCCCTGTCCTCAGACCCAGACCCCTCCTCTGAAATCACCTCCCCTGCCAGGAGAGCCCCTCCAAGGAGGGCGATAAGAGGCATCCATGGTCTTTCCAAAGGTAAAGCCTGCCTGGATGTGCCCAGAACCAAACTCTCTAGAGTCTCTGCTGAAGCTTCCCAGGCCCCGACACCAGCTCTGCTCTGAGGCTGCTCTGCGGCCTCGTCCATCTGGCACAGGGTCAAAGTCAAGAAGGGGACTCCTGAGCAGCCCAAAGACGGACACAGCAAAGTTCACGAGGGCTCTTCATGCGTGCTTCCTCTCGCTCTGGCCCAGGGCTGATGAGCTGGGTTATCGGAGGTCTGGCAAGTGAGTGGGAAGGGGAAGAGAGAGCCCTGGAGGGACAGGCCCCCAAAGGGTTGCCAAAAATGAGCGAGTGGAGAGCTCTACAAATTGGACATGAGCTCAGAGGCAAGCTGTCGGAGACCATTTAATGGAGCAGCAAACTGCCTTCCATACCAAGTCTTGGGGACATCAGTTAGTGTAAACAAGTTTCATAACCCTGTACGAACTCCATTGCTTCAAATCCTCTGTGGGAGGCCAGGTAGAAGACATTCCCCTTAAAGCTGAGAGCTAGGGGTAAGGGTGACTTTCCCGGAGGGACTGGTTTGCCTTCTTCTGTTGAATGGTCAGAGCACATCTCCCTTTTTCCTCTGGCTGCCAGGAAGCTCTAAACCACCAAGCACAAGACTCTAGCTTCTGATTTTTTAAAATTTCCTTTTTGTTCTCCTATGTATTTCCTGTGTGTTCATTCAGATCTATGGCTAACTGAAATAGTGGACAGTAAATACGTTTGTACACACATTCTATGAAGGCAGGAGACACAGATTCTATGAAGGCAGGAAACACCCTCTTTTCTATTTAGACAAAATGATGGTGGGATTTTGAGAGAACCAGAGATAACCCACCTCATGATCCCATCCAGACGCCAGCTTCACGGTCCACTTCTCTGCAGGGGGAATCCGTGCTTATACTCCCGGCCTGGACTTCTCCCCCAAACTCCAGCCCCCTATATCCAAGTGCCTTTTTGACCTCCCTGCTGGAAAATCACAGAGGCTCCGTAGACCTGCCTCCCTGCTGTCCCCTCACAGGCGATGGCCGCCCCATCTTTTCTTGTGGCTTGGGCCAAAACCTGGGTGTTCTCCTTGATTTCTCTCTTTCCCAGAATCCCCGAAAGTGTGAAAGCACAATTGGGAGGAGCCTTAGCTGTCAGTCCCTTGTGGTGATTGTCACATGTGGTTGTTGTTTTAGGTGTCAACTTAGCTGGGCCTTGGGGTGCCCAGATTCTTAGTCAAACATTATTCTGGGTGTTTCTGTGAAGATGCCTTTCAATGAGATTAACATTAAATCAGTAGACTGAGTTACAGCAGACTGAGTTAAGGCAGATTACTCTCCCTACAATGGTGGGTTTCAACCAATCAGTTGAAGGCCAGGTAACAGGGAATTCTTCTGCCCCTTCCCCAAGTAACAGGGAGTTCTTCCTGCCTGCCTAACTGCAGACCTGAGCTGAGGACCTGATTAAGTCAGGTCCTCCCTGACTTAATCTGCTACTCTTGAGCCTCCCAGCCTTTGGACAGGAGATAGACCATCAGTTCCCCTGCTTCTCAGGCTATGGGACCCAGACTGGAGCCACACCACTGGCTCTCCTGGATACCCAGCTGGCTGATTCCTCCTACAAACCCTGCTTGCTACCCAGAATCTCAGAGCCTACTTCCCTGACAGTCTGACCTGACATGGACCACTGTGCCAGCTCCTAACCAGACTCCCAGGTCTACTTCTGCCCCTCACAGCAGTCAGAGTGACCCTAAGGTAAGGCCTCAGTCAGATCTGCCACTCAGCTACCAAAGCCCTTCATTTGACTCCCAGGCACTCGCGGGAATACCAAAGTCCTGACCATGCCTTCAGGATACCTGGGTCCTCCCTGACTTAATCTGCTACTTTTCTGCTCCAGCTGGAGCTATGCTGTTTCTCCAACACACCAGGGCAATTCCTACCTCAGGGCCTTTGCACTTGCTGTTCTCTTTGCCAGGAATGCCCATCCTCCAGATATACCGGGCCTCTCCCTTTACTTCCTTCAGGGTTTTACTGAAAACCTATGTTCTCAGTGTCTGAAGTTGCAGTCTTCCACACCCCTGCTTTTTCTCCTTAGCCTTTACTACCTTCAAGCATCCTATCTCTCCCTTATTGCTTGATTTCATCAGTCTTCCTGACTAGAACATCAGTTCCATGCAGGCAGAGGGTCCTCCATGTATTTTCTGCACCCCCAGAGCCTAGAATCACATGGCACATAGTAGGTGCTCCACAAACATCCATTGAATGAAGGAATACACATAGGGCTTGACCTGGACAGCTTGCCTTGGGCACTCAGGTGTCACTGCCCTCGGTGATGAAGTTCAGAATCACCCCCCATGGGCTTCTCTGAAAAGGCTGGGCCCTTCCCCAGCATTCCCCCCTTCCCAGAAAGCTACCCTAAAATGGCAGCTAAAATTCCCAAACAAACCTTCCCTCCAGGCCCAGGCTTTTTTAGGGCTGGTGCACTTGGCCCTGGCTCCCTGACTCATGTGGGAGGTCCCCCCAGCCTCACGGGCAGCTGCTTGGTTTACAGAATACAGGAGTGGGCACAGAATGATAGAGATGTTCAAAAAGAAATTTTCCATGACTGTTCAGGGCATGAGTAATCGCGAAGATCGCCACCTCATTCCAGTCCAGAAACCAGGCGGTTTCGATAGACGTTAGTTAAACACAGAGGACTGACGAAGCCCGTCCTTTGTAAGTGGTGACTACAGAGGACCAGGCTCCCGAGTGGCCGTGGAAGTGACAGCACTGAGCGGGGGGTCCTGCTGGGGAGGGGTTGTGGCTGGCATAACATCCCACACCCCTTCCCAGGTGCCTCCAAGAGAGGGCTGCAGAGCCCGCTGCCCCACGAGTCCTCCCTGGTGGGGACCCATCTCCCCGCCTCCACGTTGGGGTCTGGAGCATAGTTCCCACGATGGCAGCCTGCATCTCATTCCAGCCCCGCCAACCCTGGGCCGGGCAGGCACCTAAAGCTTTGGTGTTCCAACTTCCTCATCTGTGCGGTGGATAAAACAAAAGGATCAACCCCACCGTGCTGTGGAAGGAGCTAAGTGAGTTCCCACGACTAGAGAGCCTAAAACAGACCTGCACGTGGCAAATGTTCAGTAGCTAGTAATGACCGCGGCTAGCAAAGACGACCTTCCCCGCCCCCACCCCCAGATGTACCCCTTCTCGTGGCCCTGGAGACTCTGGACGCCTTGGCAATGACCACCGCCTCCTGCCCGCCCCCCTTCCTGAAGGGAGAGAGGTGTCTGACAGGAGGGGGTGGGTACCGTGTTTCTGACGCAGCAGGTGTAGGGAACCCCACAGGCCAGGGGTCCCGGGCCGTTGCAGTCATGGTACTGGTTTTTGCTCCAATCCCGGTAGTCTTCCCCGCCACAGCACTTGAACTGAGGGGAAAGGAAGCAGGGAAGGGGGCTGCCGTCACCGCCGAGGCCCCAGGCGCACACCAGGAAGGGGCCCCACCAGGAGACCCTGAGGTTTCTGATCGGGTCACCTGGGAGGGGGGGAACCGGAGGCGGTAGTTGTCAGCCAGCTGCCCGAGAGGTAGGGAGCACCCCATCACTGGAGAGGCATGCAAGCCAAGGCTGGGCAGCCTCTCGGAGATTAACTGGGCAAGGGGGACTAGATATTGGAGGGAAAGTCCTCCCTTGACGTTCCCATCTTCATGTCCCATGGCACTTGCTCAACCCTTGAAGGTCCCAGAGACTAGGACTCTATGGATGCCCATAGCCCTGTGGCCCCTATGTCACAGCCACCCATCAGCTCTTAGCACAGGGGAACACACACTTCACGTCCTGCCATGGGCTCGGGACCGAAGGGGTGGCAAGGAGGCCCTCATTTTCCCCTTAGCTTAGCTTCTCCCCCCTGCACTGGTGCCAGTGCCCTGGAAAGTGGTGACTCCACTGAGGGGCTGATGGGCACCAGGCATGATGGTGGGCACTGGAGTGATAGGGTGAGCCAAAGTAACACGGCCGTGGGGGACAGGCTCCGTTGGGGAGACAGAGTAACCGCTACATGGAAAGGTCAGTGGTAGAGCCATGCACCAGGGGCATGGGAAAGGAGAAGGGAGCTGGGGGGCGGCTGTGTGTTGGGAGGTCAGGAGAGGCCCCTCTGAAGAGATGACATTTAATCTGAAACTGGAACAGTAAGAAAAAGCCAGTCAACAGTGCACGGGCCCCGCACATGCGGGCTGAGCTGTAGCGGGGTAGGTAGCACGCAGAGGCTCATGCGTTGGGAGCAGGGCGAGCAAGAGGGGAGGGATGAGGTAGAGAGGCTGGCCCTGGCCATACCATGCGGAGCCTAGTCAGCCAGGATAAGTAGGAAGCCGGGATTGCATTCAGAGTGATAGGGAGTCATGGCAGGTTAGTTAGGGGAGTGATAGGGTCACAGGTCCCAGAGAAACACAAACCAGACAAGACACCCTTCCAGAGTCCCCACAGTGCCCTCTGGCTGTCAGCTCTTAGGACCTAGCAGTGCCTCCCCAAGGTGCGGTTCAAAGGGCATTTGTTTTGAGTTCAAGAGTCAAGAGACCAGAGATCAAATCCTCATCCTCCCATTCTTAGCTGTGTGACTTTGGGCAAGTTGATTGGCCTCTCTGGGCCTCAGATTCTCATCTACCAAGCAGGAAGAGCCCTGCCGGCCTTGCACAGCTGAGCTGAGGATACTGACGTCAGGCTATGCGTGAAGCACGCAGCCTGGGGCCTGGCACCGAGCATGAGTCACCCCGCCATCCCACCCTGGGAGAAATGAAATCCCCAAGCCAGGGGAACGCTGGTTCCAATAAAAACATCACACTTCATCCAGCGGCCGGAGCTGGCCGACACACCCTTGGCAGAGCGGGGCTTCCCAGCAGCTGCACCTGTTGTGACTACAGTGAAGGCCTGAGCCAAGGGAGTGGCCACTGCGGGTGGCCGTGGGCATGGGGAGATGTGGTTCCCCCTGGGGACGAGGCCCGGGAACCAGGACCACTGCAGCCCCCTAGACTGTGTCCCAGGAAGCACCGCCAGGGCTGAGTCTTGCCTAGGAGAACACAGCAGCGGTGCTAACCACAGTCTAGGGGAAGATACCCACCCCCTGCTTCCAATGAGAACCTGAGGCTCAGAACCAAGTGAGACTGATATGCAGAAGCCATCAAGGGCAGTGCCGGCCTGCCACTGCTGTTATTATAACCCCACAGATGCAGGGGATCTTGGGGGGGGGGACAATGTCCCCAAAAGATGATCATTGCATTGAAAGAAGTGTTATGGAAGAAAAGGGGAAGTCATGTTCTGTTCCCCAATGCAGGGGGAAGTGGAATCAGGGAAGAGTGCTATCTAGCTCAGGGCTGTCCCTGATGTGCAGGGACTAAGCTCCCCATCACTGAAGGGACTCAGCAAAAAGGTCTCTGAACTGGGCAGCTTGGAGGACTTTGTCTGCCCCCTCAAGGAAGGAGGATCTTAGGCCACTGGGGAAGTATACCCTGGGACCATGCAAGGTGGCTTGTAGTTAGAGTGGACCTTATTATTTATATATTTATTTATTTTGATGGGGCGGGGGGATATCTATGTGACTAAAGGGAGGCAGGGAGCATAAGGACATTCTGGGCCAGGCACATGGGTAGAGGACTGGTTGAGAAGGTCAGGCCCCACCCTTGGTGCCCATCCATGCCCACGCCATTGCCTCCCAACTTGGCCAGCCCCTGCTCTGGGAATGGATAAGCCACTGCTCCCTATCCCCTGCCCTCCTGAGTGAGGTCCCGAGCCGGGGGCAAAGGGCATGGCAGGCACATCTCTGACCCAGGGCATCTGGCTCACCTTCTTCTGAACAAAGTCCATGATGTTTTTGAAGTCCAGATCGTCATAGTAGTTCTCAATTCCTCTTCGAATGTTGTCATTCAGAAAGTCGATGGTCTATTTCGATGGAGACATTATGAAAGAAACAGACAACTCCCCACCCCCTCAAGGTCCAACCCAAGAGCTCCGAGAATTCAGGACTAGAAGAGAGTGCTCACAAGCCCAAGTAGCCCCCAACCCACCTGCACTACCTTCCTGACCACACACCCCCTCCGCACCCCGGTGCCCATCTGATGCCTGGGTCCCTTTGCCATGTCTAAGGAGGAGTGATTCACCCCCTTTCCTATACAGATCAGAGAGCTCAGGCCCCAAGAGATGGGACTCTGCCTGGGGAAGCAGCCACACCCAGCTGGGACTTGGCTGGCCCGGGTTCCCGGCTGGTGCCCTTTCCACTGCCCAAAGACAGGCCCGAGCTGGGTCTTTGTCCTCCAGACCTCCTCTTCGCTCTTCTCAGCTATCCAAACTCTTGTGTCATGGATAAGGAAACCGAGGCCCAGAGAGGGGGCCTGACTCTCCCAGGGCATGACAGGCTGGTTAGGGCCCTGCCCGGGACTGGAAATCAGCTCTCCTGACTTCCCCAGTGGGCCACTCTTCATGCAGCAGGGCTCGGTGCTAAACGACAAGGCCCAGCTCCCGCCTCGGGCGGGGACGCTCCCCACCGGGAGGGGCGCTGGCACATAGCCTTCTCCCGGTCACACTGGGCCTTCTGGATCAACAGCCCGGCTGTTGTGCTGAAATCCAGGAGCACAAAAGGCCCCACAGCGGGGAGGGGTGGGGGTGGGAGGGTGGGCAGCCCAGCCCCATGCTCCCAGCGACAATCAGGGCTTTCAGCACAGGGAGGCCCACGGATCACCAGAGATTGTGCTGGTACAAAGGGGGCATTCTTGGCTCTGGAGCCAGACGATCTCCGGGGAGGTGCCTACAGGCGCCACTGGGGAAACAGGGCCCTGGGTTCCAGGCCTGGTCCTGCCGCTGCAGTCCCTACCACCACCTGCCCTCTCTGAGCCTCAGTTTCCCACTTGTGAACCAAACCTGCAGGCCTATCTTTGCGATAACTGCCAGCTCTGAGGGTCAGAGACAAGGCTGAGAGGGGCCGTCAAGGCCCACGGTCAAGAACAGTTCCAGCAGCCACCCAGGCCTCAGACACCTCATTTAGCCACCAAGCCTCCACTTCCTTCCCTGCCAAATGCGGAGCACAGCCTCTGCCTGGGAGAGATTTCAGTTTAGATAAACGAAAGCTACAAATGTGCTTAGCAAGGGGCCAGGCACATGGTAGGCCACGGTATTATAGATCTTCCTCTCCTTCCAGGAGACACATACCCTCCAGTACTGCTCCATAACCGTCATATCATCACTGGAAAATGGCTAATCCCAAGGGAAACTAAGGCCTCAGGTCTTGTCCAAAAGGCTTCCTGAGGTGGAAGCGGCCTCCCAAGGAAGAACCAGCCCCTGGCCTCGGACCCCTCACAAACACCTGCAGTCCGGAGAGGTGAGCTGACCAAGGTCGCCCCACCAGTCGTTGGCAGAGAGATGCTAGCAGCAAGGTGGCAAACCCCCAGTGCGGGGTCCTCTCCCCAAACCATCTCCAGTATCAGGAAGAGAGAGGAACAAAGGGTACCTCAGCCACCTCCTTCCTGATACTCACCCTGCTCGGAGTCAAGGCAACAAAGGAGACGGGCTCAGGGAGATCTATCTCTGTGGCCAGAAGGACAACCCTCTGCTGATGAAGATCAGCTGCTCAGAAATAGACTGGGGAGCCCAAAACCTGACATCAGCATCCAGTGTCAGGGGGCACCGGGGACAGGGGCAGGCCCTCTCTCGCGTGAAAGACCGCTAACTTGCCAGCCCTCAGTCCCGCACTGATCCCAGGGCAGGAACCTGCTGGTTGCACAACCTGGGCAGGTCGGGGACCCCACGGCCTCAGGCCCACCCTACTCAGAGACCCTCAGGTCATGAAGGTTTTCCAATCTGGGGTGCCCACTCCTCTAGGGGATGAGGGAACAGGCCAGCCAGCAGGGGTACAGTTGGGGCATCTAAGAAACAGGACATGAGGATTGGGGGGTCAGTCCACCACCCAGGGTAGGGCAAGAGAACAAATTCATTGCATTGAATGGCATGTGGGAGGGGGCCCATGGCTGTACAGAGGTGTGGGGGGGGTGAGCCAAGGTCAGGGTCACATGCATAGGGGTGTGTCAGCTTGTTGCAGCCAACTCTCAGGGCATTGCAGACACAGTCCTGGTCTTCCATGTCCCTCTGCATGCACCCCAGCCCAGTGGCCACCTCCCAGCCCCTCCCCTGCATCACAGATTATCTGGACTCCCCCCAGGGCAGGGGCTGAGGTGCCTGGGGATGAGGGCAGAAGGCCCAGGGCAGGGTCAGCACAGGGAATGCCCAGTGGCCCAATGAGGAAAGGTTCTCGCTCCCTCTTCAGTAAGCAGCTCTGACCATCCTCCCTAAACCAACTCAGTCACTGGGTACTTTCCAAACCTGCTGACGCCAAAAAGGCCTCTGTGAAAATCAGGCCTCCCATCTAGTAAGCTGAGCTGGGCCCCTACAGGGATGGGAGGCCCTGCTGGAGGCCCATCTAAATGGGCAGGAGGGACAGATGGCCCCAGGCTTTGAGGGCAGCAGCTGCCCTAGCCCCCTCAGGGACCTCTCTGGATCAGGCTTGCTCTTGTGTGCTCTCACACGTGTGTGTGCGTGTGTGTGTGCGCGTGTGTATATACCAGAGATGCGAGGAAACTTAGGTGGTCCTTGTGCCGTGACGGGGCTGGGGAGGGATGAGAAACTCCAGTGAGACAAGCAAGCTGCCCAGCTCATGAATTTAACTGTGAAGTGCTCGGCTGTGTTCAGCTACATTCTCCGGGACTGTGGGATTCAGTAGGGAATCCTTATTCCTCTGTTCCTCCCCTACCCCGAGACCAAACTCCCAGTGCCATCCCTGCCCTGCTCGAAACCAGCTCATAGCAGCAGGGCCAGCTCCAACTAGAGCAGGAAAACCAACTCCCCACCCAACATCCCCCTCCCGCCCACCCTCCTCCAAGGCTGGCATAGCTTCAGGGTCCACATGGCCTGGGCTAAAACTAAACTCAGCAAAGGGTAAGCAAACATTAAAGGCCACAGGATTTTCAGAGTACACTGTTTAAACCACTGGAGGCAAGCTGCAAAGAACTGTCCTTTCTAGTTCTTTCTTCTAAATCTAATTCTAAAGCTCTCCAAAGCCTCTGGGCATAGCTTCCAGGAGAGGTGCTTAGTGTTTTTAGATGAATGAGGAATCAAGGGGTTGGGGCATGCAGACCCCCCTCCCCAGGCTGAGGAGCAGGGGGAGGAGGGAGGAGTGGAAGGAGGGCCCTGGGAGCCTCCCTCCTGGCCTCCAAAGATGGACCTTCCGCGGCTCTCACCCTGAAACCCAAGGCTACAGAGGTCCCCGCTGACACCAATACCAGCCCAGTTCTCACAATGTGAAGGGGGTTCCCGGGCTTGGCTGTGACCCCAGCACCCTCTGATCAAGGCCAGGAAAGAGGCCGGCCATTCCTCACCCCTGCCTTGGCAGTGGAGGGAAGGTAGAGTCCAGAAGGTCTGGGTTGGGGGTACAGATGTACCAGCCACAACCCAGCACCCTCTGGGTGTCTCACGCAGCTCTGCCTGACTGGGGACACATGGGCAGCAGCTGCCCTCTCCAACACCCCTGGAACACGCTGGAGTACTGGTAGGTCAAGGTGAGACCCAGACAGTCATGGGGGTCACGTACATTCTCCTCGCACTGGTTGGGGTCAGGGTGTGGCACTGCTGATGCCCGGGCCCTTGGGGTTCCACGTCCAGCTCCTCAGGGCACAACAGAGAAGCCACTCGAGTCTGACCATCAGGTCATGCCCGACAGCGGAAACCCCACCCAAGGTCAGGGATGGAGTCCTGTCTTTATACCCAGGTGTCTGTTGGTGTTCGGCTGCCAGGACAGCCATGCCCTGTTCCCTTCCTGACAACCAAGCGTGAAGCCATTGGCCTACTTTGTCCTCCATCTGGCACCACGAGTGGATTCTTGGATTTAATAGGTAGCCTGTGTGGCCAGACTTGTCAGAGTATGGCTCAGAGAAATGTTTCTTCTCCTGGCCAGGAGAAAATGGAATTGGGGGCTCACTTCCTCCTGGCAGCTGACCTGCATTGCTCCCCATCTCCTCTCTCCACCTCATACAGCCCCTTCCTGCTGCTGTCAACAGCCCACCCTTAGCAGTGGCCAGTCTCATGTTTTATGTTACAGTTGGAAGAGACATTATTTTCCTTTATATGGTATTTCCCCCAATGATTATAAGAAAAAGAGGATTTGGGAATCTTCTTTTGGGAAGAAATGGGAAAAAATGTCAAAGAGAAAATAAAAATCACCATAGCCCCACCCCTCAAAGGAAATAAGAGTTAATATGCAAATAATTCTATTTTCTTCCAGATTGCTCCTATTTTTTTTTAAGATTTTATTTATTTATTTGACAGACAGAGATCACAAGTAGGCAAAGAGGCAGGCAGAGCAAGAGGGAGAAGCAGGCTCCCCACTGAGCAGAGAGCCCAATGTGGGGCTCGATCCCAGGACCCTGAGATCATACCTGAGCTGAAGGCAGAGGCTTAACTGACTGAGCCACCCAGGTGCCCCTCTAGGCCTATTTTTTTATGGCAAAGATCTGACTGCATTTGCAGTTTTGTATCTCAGTTTTTCAGTTATTTTGAATTATGTATCATAAGCAGATGAGAACACGGCTCACCCTGAGCCTCCGAAGATCTGAGAGCCGTGATGGTGGGGGTCCTTCCTGGGCTGCACACAGAGATCCTCTCCTGACAGGACCCCATGAGGGGACATGCCATCCAATCCTCAGGCTTTGGGGATAATGAGATAATGAGAAACTCTCGGCGCTGACCTCGGTCCGTGGAGTCCTCAGCCATGAGGACTAGAGAGCTCAGGAAGAAGGAGTGGTGTCATGGCACCTACTGACCTACAGGGCACTGGAAGATGACAAATCAGCCTGTGTTTGGGAGAGCATGCTGGAAACCAAAATGGCTGCTCATTTAGG